AAAATAACAAACTCACAACTATCAACAAACAAACCTAAAAAAAACAAAGGAAACAATAGAACAGGAACAAAATCACATAAATGGAGATCAAATAGAGGGTTATCAGTGGGGAGGAGGGGAGGGGGCAGAATCGGGGAAAAGGTACAGGGAATAAGAAACATAAATGGTAGGTACAAAATGGACAGGGGAAGGTTAAGAATAGTATAGGAAATGGAGAAGCCAAAGAACTTATATGTATGACCCACGGACATGAACTAAATAAAGAGGGAAATGCTAGTGGGAGGTGGGGTACAGAGTATTAGGGAATAAAGGGGAGAAAAAAATGGGACAACTATTATAGCACAATCAGTAGAATATACTTTAAAAAAACACTCTTCTCTTTCAAAATGCTGTCATGACTTACAGTCTACAGGTTTCTGTATAAGAAAGATGTATCCTCAACTGTCACCCTCGGATCCATTTATGCTATATTTCCCAACCCATAATTGGGTGGATCTCATGCCAATTCAAGGCTAAACCTCATAAATTTGCTTTGAAAGGACTTTTCATGCTATAGCAGTTCATCATCAGTGAACTGCCCTTGTTTTACACATTCTGGAAATCAAAAATTTTTCTAGGCTCCTATAAGAAGCTAGAACTAAAGGGGATATCAGAAGTCAAGCGACTCAGGCTTTTCAATGCACAGGTGAACAGGCTGAGGTTCCCAAATATTGATAGAAAGACAGTTCCTGGTTAGATTATTTCATTTGATTCCATGACTCTTTAAAGCCAAAAATAATTAATGGGCACTTTACTCAGAAGTCCCTTATTTCTCTAAAATACAGGAGAACCCCCAAATAAAAGAACAGGTAATCAAGTGAATTCATCTTAATTCAGGTATAATTCTTTAAAATGCATATCTCCCCTTCCTATTTCCCATATTCTCCCAAGGATATACAGACCTGAGACCAGTTTATTCCATTCCTTCTTTTATAAATTTTCTCAGTTCCTGGATTTGAACTTCCCAGAATGATGGAACCAGAAGGAACTTAGGAATCCAGCCCAACTTTTTACAAGTCTAGAGAATGAGATCCTAAAGGGAGAATGGTTTATAGTCCCTGGGTTTCTTAATGAGGACTTCTTAGTTGCATGTGACCAAAACTTAGCACACAGTATGACTAAGTGCACAGAAGAATTCAGATTCTCAGAACCACAGGGAGGACAGGCAAGGGTGCAGCTAGACCTCAGGGACATCTGGGAACATGACATCAGGAATTTTTTCATTGTCTTTAACTGTCTATGATTTTCAGCTTTATTTCCTTTCTAAATCTACATTTTTCACAATGTTGAAAATATGGCCACACTTCACATGTTCCATCCAGGTTTTTCACCACAAAAGAGATTTAAAAAATAACTATTTCTGGTGCCAAGGTAAAAAAAAAAAACAACCCACAAAGAAGGCCAAAGGTGTAATATGGCCAAAGGATGGGGCTCCAAGATTGACCTAATATTATTCAGGTGCCTATCTACCTCAGGGCCAATCAGTGGACAGCAGAAGGATGGAATCAGTGAGGGAATGGAAGTGCCCATGTGAACCACTTGGTTAGAGTAAAGAAAAGGGCATTTCCCAGATGAGAGGGGATGCTATTCTGGAAACACAAAAGAATGGATTTCCACCACACTAAGGTAAGGAGAATCAGAAAAATTCCCAAAAATTGTACCCATTCATCAGGAAACCCCACAAAGGTGGTGGCCAAGCAGTAACTTGGAGAAATAACAGGTGACAGAGCTGCTTCCAGCTCTGTCACTAGAGTTTAAACAGTTCATGTTTACATCCTTCCTGCAAATCTAGTGGCCATGAAAAAGGCATTGGAAAGACAATTGCTCTTTGTAACTTCTTTAAGCTTTATGCCTGACCTGTTAGAGCCAATGTCAAGTGAGGAAAGTTTGTGTCTAGTCATTGCATCTTCCCCATCCCCATACTTCTCAGTTACTCAGTTCTCAGGTGCTCACTCCCCATCCTGACCCATCCTTGGAGACGACTCTGAAATAGTCCCCTTCTGAAGAAAGTGGATGGCAATACGCAATGTGGGATCTCTTCTCAAATAATTTACACTTTAATGGAGGTAAAGCCTAAGTACATAGAATTTCAGACCAAAGGGACTCTCAGAATTCTCTTATTCCCTCCTCTCCCCAATTTTGTAAATGAAGAAACTGAGGGACAGGATGGGGAATTCTCTTATGAAGGACCCATAGCTGGTAAGCGGTGGTTACCACCCAGCATGCATTCTGTTATATCCTACAATCTCCAGAAAAAAGTCAAGCAGGCAAATTCCAAGTAAGAGCATTAAAAATAAAGAAAGGGAATTTAAAATGGAGTCAGGCCCCTTCTTGAAATTCACACCATATTGCTCATGCTTGCTGCATCCAAAGTAAGGTAATATCTTTTAGCTTGCCCTGCTCTGGAAGGGCTATGGCTTTTCTGCTCCTCCTCTGCACCAAGCAGTCTGGTCCCCACTACCCCTACTTCAAGTCAGGGGCAAAAGAGGGTGAGAGGATCTCACAAAGCCACCAGAGAGGTCATGATACCAACACATTCCTTCTGTGGCTCCTAAAGGACCTGACTTATGGTAGGGAGTTCTTCTCGGAGGAAACCATACATTGCCAGGCACTTGAGAAGGGTGTTGGGAGGGGTCCAGCTGAGTGACAGGCATGAGACCAGGCAGCTGTGGTTAGAGTATTAGACTTACCATCCTTTTACTGATCTGGATATCCAAGGTTCTCTCCAGAAGAACTCTTCTTTCAGGTACTATAGCCATACCCAATGATTTACAAGCAGCTATATGTTTTCTCTCTAAACAGGACTTTTAGAATTAAAATAACTCCACAATGGAATTCTATGCAGAGGAGAGAAAAAAGGAGCTACTACCCTTTGCAACAGCATGGATGGAACTGGAAAGCATTATGCTGAGTGAAATAAGCCAGGTGGTGAAAGACAAATACCATGTGATCTCACCTTTAAAAGGAAGCTAAACAACAAAACAAACAAGCAAGCAAAATAAAAACAAAGACACTGAAATAAAGTACAGGGGGACAGCGACCAGCGGGGAGAGGGGAGGGAATTTAAGGAGAAAAAGGGGAGGGATTTAGAGGAACAAGTATAAAGGACACAGGGACAATAACTAAGGGAGGTGGAAATGGGGGGGAGGTGGGGAGCACAGGGCAGGGTGGACTGGGATGGGAGAAATAGACAGAAAACTGTACTTGAAAAATAATTAAATAAAAACATTTTTAAGAATTAAAACAACAAAAATAATCATTGTTTGCTTTATTTGAACAACTTCAACACAAGGTATAGCAAGATGTAAAGAAATACTAACACCTATTTACAAGCAGGTGACCTCTCTATTTAAGTTTTCTCATTTAACCCTGTCTCCTCTTCATACATAAGTGGAAAGCACTTTTTAAAGTCTTCCTGAGCTCCCTCTACATAGCATAAAGTAAACAGAGCCCCATATACAATATTGGGGCTTCAGGACCACTAGTCCCTACAGCCTTTTGGTTAGCCCTTTATTCTTAAGTAGAAGTCTTTGTCTGCTTCAAATTGAATTAGAAGAAGGCATTACATTGTCATTTCTTTAGACCTGAAAACCCATTCTCCTAGCAGTCCCCTTCAATTTGTTGTGTTTTCCCTGACTTTTGGAAGATTCCAAGAGAGCAAATAACTCTTCTGTATACTATCTTATTCACACAGACCCAATATTGTCACTCCCCTTTCTCCCTCCCTTGAGGGTTTAGATCATTCACATACCTGCTATCTTGTTTTTTGGTAACACAAGGGACAGGGAGAAAAGGAGTTTAATTTCCAGGAATAAGGGTTGAAGAAAGAACAAAAAGTGATGAGGAGGTAGGACCTTTTCCCTTCCAATGCCTTAGGTGTGATTGAGTCACCTACAGTTAGAGAAATAAAGATCAAGAACCATCAGACTCAGACACTTTGGACACAGGTTGAGAGCCCAAGCCCTTGCAGAGCATAGGAACTTTGCACAGGCCAGGATTCCCTCCTGCCCACCTCTTCATGTAATACAGCAATGCTCTGCCTCTCCAAGGTCAAAGGCTTTAAGAATACAGAGTGTTGACATCTATGATACAGACACTGCAGGTACTATTATGGGTAGAGGGAATGATATAAATTACCAAATGGATTCTCAGGCAAATGAGTTGACAAGTGGGAGATGGAACAGGTGGGGAAAAAGAAGAAACAGACATATTTCCACGCCAATAGCAACCAACAGACATGCCATCATGGGCTTTTTATAGCGATTCATGTGAGGCATCCCCATGAACTAGTACAAGAATCTGGAGGATATTTTGAGTAGTATCAGCTTTATTAACTGGACCATCAAACTACTACCTCAATTTAATCATTAAAAATAAATGTAATCTAAATATTGAATTCTAATTGATGATACCATTCTGATGTATATAGTGAGGAAGAATACTAATACCAATGTCTGCAACTCACTCTGAAATGCATCAAAAAGTGTATTGATGGATGAATTGCTGGATGGGTAAATGAATAGACTGATTATATATGTGATAAGGCAGATAAACAAAATATTAGCAGTTACAGGATCTCAGTATGGGGCATAGAGGATTCTCTGCACATTATTTTTATTATTTCTATATGATGAAAATCTTTCACAAAAAGTTTTGCAAAAAATGCAATCATGTTTTATGGTCACAGGCCTGTGAAGTATGCTATGTCTGGATTACACAGCTTTTAATTTCAGATATTTTTTTCATTTTTCCTAGGAGTTAGAGCATTCACCCCAATCTCTATTCTCAGGCTGCCTCTTCCTTTTCTGCCCTTTTTTCCCAAAACTAAAGTTGCTGGTTCTTTTTTATACTTTGTACCATGACATATTCATTTCAACATTGAGTGTGCTGAAAATAATGTGTCCAGAATGCTGGCACTTGTAGAGGAGGTGATTCTCAGGGCTGTCCAAAGTTGGTGAGAGTTAGGACAACTTGGCCCTGTTCAGACTTTTCCTCAGAGCCTCCTTCACTTCCTTGTTCCTCAGGCTGTAAATGAGGGGGTTCAACATGGGGATGACTGCTGTGTAGAACACAGAAACCACTCGATCCTCCTTTGATGATTGGCCAGAGTTATTCCGCAAGTACATGAAGATGAGGGTGCCGAAGAACAACGACACAGAGGTGAGGTGGGAGGTACAGGTAGAGAAGGTCTTGGCCCTGCCTCCAGTTGAGGGGATCTTCATAATGGCCACAATGATAAACAGGTAGGACACCAAGATCACCACCATGCAGGCAGGGATAACAAAAATGGCAAACACAATAATGACCACTTCCTGGGTGTAGCTGTCCCCACAGGTCAACTTTAAAAGGGGAGGGAGGTCACAGAAAATAAAGTCGATCTCATTGGTTCCACAGAAGGAGAGAGTGAAAGCTGAGACTGTTCGCACCAAGGCACTGAAGAGACCAGCAGTGTAAGCCCCAGCCACAAAACCCAAACGGACCTTCTGTGTCATGATGGTGGCATAAAGCAGGGGTTGGCACACAGCCACATAGCGGTCATAAGCCATGAGGGCCAGGAGGTAGCAGTCAATGGAACCAAAGAAGGTGAAGAGGAAAAACTGAGCAGCACAGCGTGTGTAGGATAAAGCTGCTCCAAGCTCCAGCAACATGGCCAACATTTGAGGCACGGTGACAGACGAATAGCAGATGTCCATGAAAGAGAGGTGACTCAAAAGGAAGTACATTGGGGTGTGGAGCCGGCGATCTACATGGATCAGGATAATCATGCCCCAGTTCCCCAACAAGGTGATAAGGTAGATAAACAGAAACAGGAGGAAGAGGGGGAATGCCTGTTCAGGATACTCAGTGAATGCTATAAGGAGGAATTCAGTCACTAAGGTGAGGTTCTTCTCTGCCATGAAGCCAGAGGTACCTGAGAGGGCTAGGATGAGATGAAAATTAGGAAGCTTCAAACAGGACTTAGGTATATTTCTAGTTTACATTTTATTGAACATATACTATGAAAAAATATGCCAGGTACTGTGTGGAGCTTCAGAGATAACTGGTCTTAGCTCTTACCCTCGAGGGAATTTTATGATATGCAGTTGTCTTAGTATGTCAAGAAAACTAATATGGGTAGACATTTTCAGAATAAGAGTATATATTCTGCCACCTTTATTACTAACTAAATGTGTGAGACCCTGTGATTTAGATAACAGCTTTTTAAACTAAATTTATTAGGGTGATATTGGTTAATATGATTATACAGATTTCAAGTATACATTTCTATGATACATGACCTGTATATTGCATTGTGTACCCACCGCCAAAGTTAAATTATCTTCCATCACTATATATCAATATTTGGCCACCTTTACTCTTTACTACCCTCAACTTCCCTTCCCTCTAGTGACCATCATACTGTTGTCTGTGTCTATAAGTTTTTGTTTTTCATGTTTGTTCATTCGTTGTTTTCAATTTTATATCCCACATAGGAGTGAAATCATATGGTTTTTAACTTTTTCTGTCTGACTTATTTCTCTTAGCATGAGATTCTGAAGGTCCATCCATGTTATCACAAATAGCAATGTTTCATCTCTTAACCAAAATTTTCCTACTGCTCCATTAGAGGGTGATGATGCATGGATCCTGCTTACCATGAGAGTACCCATCTCAGGATTCTGTCGCCTTTTCTCTATTACCACAGCTCTTCTCCCTCTTAACCCTCTTCAACTCTTGCGTAGGTCAAAGCAACAGCCATATAACTAACAGCTCTCTCTACCTTCAGTCTTGGTTCTTACCAATTCTTGTTCCTCGTTGCAACTAGAGTGATATTTCTAAGACTTTAATTTGTCATGTCTCACTCTCCTGTTAAAAATTGCACCATGGCATCACATCAGGGATAGAATATCATTAAGACTCCTGCGGTGTCAGGGAATGTCCACCTTGAGCTCCTCCCTACTTACTTCCTCACATCTCCTTCTTACTTCTCACTCCTCACATCCACAACCACACCCCACCCTCTCCAGCCACACTAAATGATTTGTGGCATCTCTAATTCCTCCATGTTCTCTCACATCTCTGCTTTCTACAGGCCATGCCTTCTGCTGAAACACCTTCTCTTGCCCATGCCAAGGGTCCCATCTAGCTCCTACATGATCTTCAAACCTCAGGGCACAAGAAGTCTCTCCTGAGTTTGCCTCCCCTAGCCTGAGTACATGCCCCTGGAGCTCAGCACATAGTAAAGGCTCAGTGCGCTTTTGTGGAATAGTTTTGAAATGACATATGAAGCACCTTGCAAAGGGAAAGGCACTGTACAAATGTTCAAGTGATTATTTTTACTTTTATGAAAATTTTAAAAATTAACATTTATGAAGGTCATAGCCATCCGTGGTTCAACCACTCTATTCTCAAGCTACCAATGTCCTTATTTAATAGAAAGCTGTTTACCAAAAATAAATTTTATAAGAACTGATATTGTCCTTAATAACACAAACACATAGAAAGAAACTATTTTAAGTGGTTTACATATTAACTCATTCAATCCCCACAACCACTTTATAAGGTAGGAACTTTTATTATCCCCATTTTATGGATGAGGAAACTGAGAGTTTAAGTAACAGGCCCAACATTGTACTAGTAAGTGGTGGAACTGTCATTAGGAACAAAAATACCCACAGAAGCACTATTTGTCTTGTAACAGAGTTTCACACACATCATATATCTACTCCAACTGCCCAGCAGGACTCAGGAAATGTCTACCTTTAAGTAAACAAGCATGAATACCAGCACTGCAGTCTGTCTATTCATATCTGGATGCTGATGGAGACTTTTGTGCTAAAGGACAGAAGTCCTTTGGCAGAGTTGCAGTGGATAAGGATAAAGAAATATTCGATCATCTTTAAAGCATTGGACTTTGGCAGCTGCTTCAGTGTTGGACTGACATATTGAGGAAAATGATAAATAAAAGAAATTGGATCCAATTATTTCAATTGAGCATAAGTCAAGAGAACTGGATCAGTTTTCTCACCTGAATTCCACTTCACCTTCACCTGGAAAGTCCTCTTCACTCTTGGTCCACTAATTTTCCTTTGTCTCTAATGTTTGTTTCTCTGTTGTTGCTTGGAGAGCCATCCTAAGTGTGTGGGGGAGACACCACTTCCCTGGGCAACAGGAGTTCTGGGTGGTTCTTGTCCTCCCATACTTGCTCAGTTAGGATGATAAGCAAGTTACTTAATCTCTTGGGGCCTCAGTGTCCTTACCCCTCCTACTACACTCCCCTCAGTGAATCAACATGGGGACAACAGTGTCATAGCTGCCCAAATGTCAGTACCTGCACTGCATCTTTCTCAATACAAATCTGTCAAGCACTATTTTCTCTTTCTTCCCTTAATCTTTCTGTTTCCATGACTTGGTAGATCCGGCTAAGAAGCATCTCTCACTCTGGGTTTTGTTCAGGTGCAGGCTGGAATAAAGGAGGTTGGAGAACAGCCTCTTCCTATGAGCACCTGACCCCAGCACAATTCCCTTGGGGAGAAGAATCTAATAGCTGTTACAAAAGTTCTGAAGTCCCCAGTCAATGGCTAAAGTGGTCTCAGAGGAAAGACCATTATTACTTGTGTAAATTCTCACCTGATCCGAGTTCTAACTCCCAAAGCCCTGAAACACCCCCACTGTGTGGGGTCCAAAAGCCCTGAACCCCAATTCTGTACAGTCTCTTGAGGTCAACATCAGAAATTGTGCCTATTACCATCCTCATCAGTGTGGCCATATCCTAGTCGAGAAGTGCTTTGCTTTGATCCACATTATCCAGTAGGAGACACTGGAGATTCTACCAAGGCCTCAGTAAGACACATAGTGTCTTCTAAGTTTGCCCTCCCTGGGGGTCATATGTTTTATTAAGTCTCTTTCTTTTTTCTCTTTAAAAGCAAATGAAATTATAGGGAAAACAACAGCCTGGAATATCATCCAGAGGAGAAATTGGCAATTTTTTGTTGGTCTACCCTTTGCCAGCGCTCTGCATTTTTGACACTGTAGTATTTTTTAACCCCAAATTCATTGGTATTTTGTTAAGTCATTAAATTTCAACATGTCCTAATTTAGAGAGGAAATAAGAAAGACAGAGAATAATGGAACAGTTGTTCACTTTGACGATTATGAGAAATAAGAGAAAGTAAAACCACATAGTTCATTGATTCATCACTGTACTAAGAGTTCTAAACAAAGAGCAAAAGATACTAAATAAAACAAACACTCCCCCCCAAAAAAACCCACAATGCTTGTCTGCAAAAAATGTGCAACCTAATAAATAGGATTATTATACATCCTACCATATAACAAGCACTAAACCCTGAAGTAAGATACAGGTAAGGTGCCATGGGGATTCAAAGTAAGACAAAATTACTTATAGTTGGGATAGATCAGGGATGGCTTCCCAGGGAAGGTGACAGTTAGGATGATGGGCAAAACTCTCCAGGAAAGGATACCAGTGTAAACAAATTCACAGGGGCGGGAGAGTCCAGGGACTATTCTTGGAACAACAAGTGAGAATTTTGTGACAGCACAGGTAGTTTCTAGGCAAGTCAGGACTAGGGTGACGTGAGGAGGCACTCTCCTCAGGTACAAAAGTTAAGGTGGCACCAAAAACATTAGTAAACATAGTAAGTAATAGTAAAATATTATTCAAAAATGAAAATCAATGCAAAAAATTTATGGTGAACAAGACATCAACATTTTAAGCAAATACAGTATGAGTATCAATGATTTTTCTTTTGCCTTGGTCTCTAATATGTCTTAGCATAGCACTGGCTCTAGGATACTTACATATGCTTGAAAAGGGAAGGCAAGACAAAAGGGCTTCTAGGAGACAAGCTTAAAAAAATGCCTATTAGGGACTTCTGCCAAGATGGAGGCGTAGGTGGAAGCACCGCACCTTCTCACACAACCAAGTTTAAAAACAACAAAGTTTTAGCAACAAAAACGCAACCAAACCACAGAAAATTGAACTATACAGAAGTCTGACAACAATGAACCCTTCAGCCAAACTGGTAAGAGGGACAAAGCCAGCAGCAGAGCAGGGTCAGGCAGGAAAGATCCCCTGGACCGATCCGGGCTTGCGACCCAGGTGCTCCAGCAGCCATGGGCGGATCCCAGGTGTGGAGTAGTGGACCCACTGAGGGCTGATTGCAGTCACACATTTTCACACAGGTAAACAGGTGAAGGAGCTAGCAGTGAGACTGACCTCGCAGGGCCCAGTGGCGGGAAGCAGCAGAGGGGACCACTATTGTCCCTCTCTGACCCCACCTCCATGAACAGCATCACAAACCAGCCACCTGGGTAGTCCCGCCCTGGTGAACACCTAAGGCTCCACTCCTCATACCTAACAGACCAAAACATGGCTCAAGAACAACTCAGAGCCCCAGAGCCCATAAATCTAAGTGATGAAAAAATAGCAAAACTTTCAGATGTACAGTTCAAAACACTGGTGATCAGGATGTTCACAAAACTGGTTGATTTTAGTCACAAATTAGAGGAACATATGAAGGCTAAACTAATTGAAATGAATGGAAATGCACAGGAAACCAATAGTGATGGAAAGAAAATTGGGACTCAAATCAAAGGAGTGAACCAGAACGAGGAAAAAAATTACCAAACTGAAAAAGATTAAGAAACAAGAATTCAAAAAAAGGAGGAGAGGCTTAGGAACCTTCAGGACATCTTTAAGCACTCCAACATCCGAATTCTAGGAGCACCAGAAGGGGGAAAGGAACAGCCACGTGTGGAAAACTTATTTGAACAAATAATAGAGAAGAACTTCCCCAATCTGGCAAAGAAAATAGACTTCCAGGTAATCCAGGAAGCTCAGAGAGTCCCAAAGAATGTGGGCCCAAGAAGGGACACACCAAGGCACATCATCATTATATTAGCCAAGATTAAAATGAAGGAGACAATCCTAGAAGCAGCAATAGATAAGAGGACAGTCACCTACAAAGGAGTTCCCATCAGACTGTCAGCAAATTTCTCAAAAGGGACCTTACAGGCAAGAAGGGGCTGGAAAGAGGTATTCCAAGTCGTGAAAACCAAAGACCTACATCCAAGATTGCTCTATCCAGCAGAGTTTTCATTTAGAATGGAAGGACAGATAAAGTGCTTCTCAGATAAGATCAAATTCAAGGAGTTCATCATCACCAAGCCCTTATTATATGAAAGGTTAAAGGAACTTACCTAAGAAAAAGAGGATAAAAAAGATGAACAGTGAAAGGACAGAAAACTCACAGTTATTAACCACACCTAAAACCAAAGCAAACTAAGAGGACAGCTAGATCAGGAGCAGAACCATAGAAATGAAGGTCACATGGAGGGTTAGCAACAGGGGGGTGGGAGAAGGGGAAGGGGGGAGAAGGTACAGAAAATAAGTAGCATAGACAGTAGGTAGAAAATAGATGAGAGGGCAAGAATAGTATGGGAAATATAGAATCTAAAGAACTTGAGACACGTGGTCATAAACTAAAAGGGGGGAATGGTGGGGGCGGGGGTGTGCATGGAGGAGGGGAATGAAGGGGGAAAGAGAACAACTGTAATGGCATAATCAATAAAATATATTTTTAAATGCCTTTTAGTTGGTTAGGGATAGTCTATTTCTTTCCTCTCTTCCCTCCATTTAAGAAAAGAGAATGTAGGAAGGTCAACGTAGTAAGATCCAATACTTGCAGAGTATCTTTCATCATTTGAAAGCACTCTCTTATTTATCTTTACCTGAGGATTGAAAGAGATCATGGGACTCCTCAACTGTCCTGATGAGGAAACAGGGCAAATGGGCACAAGGTCATACAGGTACTTGGTAAGTGGACTAGAAATTTTTTTCTGTCCTACACACTTTGGTTGTTAATGGACTCTGCCTAAGCCACAGCCCTCACTGACCAAAAGGGCATTCTTTTATGACCATGCACAAACACACACACACACACACACACATCCAAGCTCATTGGGTGAAGGTGAGTCCTCTGGGCTAAGAAATGACCTTAAATCATAGTGACTACACAATAAGTTTATTTTAGCCATGAAAAATTTACTGTGGCAAACACACTATGCAATATACAGACAATATATTATAGAATTGTATACTTGAAACATATAGTCTTATTAACCAATGTCACCCCAAGAAATACAATTAATTACAATTAATATAACTATTTATCACAGAAAGAAAATCTAGTGTAGGTTAGGTAGTTCTCTTTTATCTTGCAGCTATGCCATTTGGAACAAGTGGCCTTCAAGTTGTCAGTGCAAGAAAAGAGCAGGTGAAGATTCTGTAAAATATCACTAAGACCAGGCCTAGAAGGGGTCTGCCTCACTTTTACCTATATCCCAGTGACCAGAATCCAGTCACATGTCCTCAACATCACAGCAGGTGATCTAGAATATGTACAGAAGCAAATGGATATTTGAGCAAACAAATGTTTGGGCTAAGTCTCTGCCACAACCCTCACCCTTGGTTCAGTGTAATGTCTAGAACCTGTCCCAAAACTTCCGAAGGCACTCAAGGGCTCACTATTGCATTCACATGGCTCTCCAAATCCTGTGTCCACTAGAGCATTACACACACTGCATCCATTTCCCATAACTGCTAAGCCCACCCAGTACCATATCATGCCAATCAGAAAGCTTGGCCTTTTTTCTTTTTCTTCATTCTTTAAAGCAAAATGAACACAGAGTTTGTTTGGGTAACAGACTTACAATAAATATATTAGTAAACTTAAGAGGTGAACAGAGAAGAAATATTAGAACTAATAATGGATATCATTGTGCTTCAAATTGCCCATCACAAGGAATTTGTCACTGGCTGCCTCTCACCACCTCAAGCCTGCCTGCTACCATACATCCCTGTCTCCATCTATTGAGATCATCTTCTGTTTATATCTTGCTTCTCTAAGTTCCTCAGTCTTCCAATCCAATGTACTGAAGAAGGTTCAAAATTCTTTATGATTCAAAAATACTGTTATCCGGACTTCCGCCAAGATGGAGGCATAGGTGGATGTGCGTGCCCCCCAACTCAGCCGCAGGCGGGGCGGCGCCCGGCTCGGAGGCGCCC